CTTTCCACAGAACAACTGTGTCAACTCTTGAAACTGTGCCTGCAGTCAACCTACTTCACATATGGGGAGCAATATTATAGGCAGAAACATGGGTGTGCTATGGGGTCTCCAGTTTCTCCTATTGTTGCCAACCTGTACATGGAGGAGGTAGAAAAGAGAGCCTTGACGTCCTTTTCAGGGACACCACCAAGTCATTGGTTCAGGTATGTTGACGACACCTGGGTTAAAATTAAATCTCAGGAAGTCCAACATTTTACTGACCACATCAACTCTGTGGATAAGTACATCAAGTTCACACGAGAAGATGTAAAAAATGGCAGGTTGGCTTTCTTGGACTGTGAGGTCTCAGTCTCTGATAGAGGACATTTGCAAACCGAGGTGTACCGCAAACCCACCCACACAGACCAGTATTTGCAGTTTGACTCCCATTACCCTTTGGAGCACAAGTTAGGAGTCATCAGGACTCTGTATCACAGAGCAGACAGCATCCCCACTAACTCAAGAGCCAGGCAGAAGGAGAAATCCTACACACGACAAGCTCTACAGCAATGTGGATATCCTAACTGGGCCTTCCTAAAAGCAGAGAAGAAATCCAAACAGGACCACTGTCAGCCATCAGGTGAAAAGGAGGAACCCAGACCCAGACCAGTGGTCATTACGTATGTTGAGAGAGTATCAGAGAAACTGAGATGTTTATTTTCTAAACACAACGTCCCAGTGGCTTTTAAACCCCCAAATACATTACGGCTGTTAAAGACGGGAGCTGGCTGTGGGCCCCCGGATCCGGTAACTCCCTCCAGCCCACGTCTTTACCCCCGGCTCGGACCTCCCTCAGAAGTGGCACTATACTAATCAATAAATCAAGGATACGTCAATTAAGTTTTATTAATTATATTAGAAAAAGGCAGGGGGCGCGTGCTGGGGGCGCGTGCTTGGTTGTTGGCGATGTGTGGGGGTGGTCGGTGGCGTGTCCTCTTCATGGTGGGGGGGTGTCCTGTCGGCTGGGCATGGCCTGGGCCGGGTCTGGGGTATTGGCTCTTCTCCGCTCGAGAATGAATGGGTTTACCTCCTGGGTTTGGGCATGGGCTGCCCCCTGTAGAGGGCGGGTACATGTCTTGGACCTGGGGGGTATAGAGTGCGTATCGGGAATAAGAATGAAATGTATCGTTATTGTATGTCTTTGAGTGAGTGAATGTGAGAATGAGGTTGGGATTGTGTGATAGTGTCTGTGCATGAATGGGTATTTGTTAGGCCGAGACTCGGACTGCCCCCTCTTTGATACAACTGGGGGTGCTTGGCATCGCACCCCTATCGCGCTGCCCCCTGGTGGGGTGTGCCCTTGCCTGCCGGCGTGCTTGGGGCCGTTGGTGTCGGGGGCTGGGCGCTTGGGCGTGTGTCGGCTCGGCCTGGTGTCTGCCTAGTGGGGCTCGGGTCCTCTGGCCCTGTCGGGCCTTGGCCTGGGTGGTGTGAGTCCTCGGTGCCCGGGCCTCGGTGCCCGGGCCTGGACCTACATCGGTGCGGCGGGTTCTGACGGAGGCCTATGAGTTTGTCGCTGTTGGCCCCGGGGGGTCACTGTATGTGTTCGCTGGTGGGGATCTTCCGGTTCTCCCCTGTGGTCCGTTCTGGGGGATGGGTGAGTGGTTCGTCCTGTGTGGGTGGCCCTGGGGGCTCCGCGGTCGGGGTCCCTCCTGGGGTCTTGGGCTCTGGACACCCTTTTTGTCTGCCTCTGGTCTTGGGGGTCGGGTCTCTGCTGCTTCACAGTTACTATTAAATGTTCTATTAGAGAAGCCTTATACATTTATGCATGCTCACAACCACACACAAATAGATGCAGGGATGCTTATGTAGGCTTTATATGTAGATATATAGATATGTATATGAATGTATATTCGTGTGTATGTATGCATGTATATAGGCGTAGGTATGGGTATATATATTTATGGAAACTTACTGCAAAGCCATGAATATTTTAAGTTCTTTATACATATGTATTTTGTTGCTGTGTTTTGTCATGTTCTTTGCAGGTGAACAGACAGTGGCCGGGTGTTTTGCCGTGTGCTCTCTTTGTGTATATTTTGGAGTCTTACTTTGTCTTTTCTTTCTTTCTATCCTATAAAAAAAAAAAAA